CCCTAAACCCTAAACCACAAACCCTCTTCCCTAAAACCAAACCCCAGACAAACACTAACCTAGACAAAGGATGGTTCAAGGAGAGGCCTAAAGGTTCTCAAGGTTCGGGGTTCACTGGGGGGTTGGCGTTTAGGGTTTAGGGCTTTATAGGGCTTGTAGGGTTTAGGGGTTTAGGGCTTTAGGGTTTAGGAGGGTTTTTAGGGTTTAGGGTTTAAGGTTTCGGGTTTAGGGAACGCAGGATATTATTTGCGCGACCTCTGCGAAGATACAGCTCTGGGGCAACCTTCTAAGTCGAAGTAGAATATATCGGTAGTTGAAAGTTCAGGTATAGGAACGATGGTGTGAGGCATTGGGTGCGATGAGGAACGTGTGAGCTGTCTTTAGAGACACTTGCTGAGCTTCCGACCAACCTACTACGATGACTACTACTGCTGCTACTTCTCAGGCTACAGGCGCGGCTACTGCTACTGCCACTGCCCTTGCTCGTGCTTTTACTCCTGCTCGTGCTCCTGCTACCAGTACTGCTAACACGGGAGGGCTGCAGACAATCGCCACTTCAGAAACCAAGCTGCCAAGAGAGGGAAGATGGCGATCGGCAGCTCCGTGCAAACCGAATCTAAGCCTTCGCTCAAGAAGGGATTGGATGGCCACGGGCGTGGTCACTATCATGCAGTTCTGTCCTTGCTAGTACGACTACTTTGTGTGCCTCGGTTACTAAAACTACACTTGAGAGACAACTTCTACGAACACCTGAAGCCCTGAACATCAAAGCCTTAACAAAAACCCTAAACCCGAGTTGACGGGCCTTTCGGCACAGGTTCGAGTCCAAGGTGCATCCCACCATGGATACCAGAAGCCAGTCTGGTGCGACCACCATGTAAGCGGCAAAGGGAATCAAGACAAAGCCTGAGACTCACAATATAGGGGCCGTGATAAGTCGAATAGGGCGTGGCTGCAACGGGTTTCGTGAAAGACTTTCTTCTTGGCTGCCCAGAGGGTTTTAGTTTGGGTGTATATTACAATATAAGTGAAACCTAAACCCTAAACCCCCAAACCCTAAACCCCTAAACCACTAAACCCTGACGCCTACACCCTTGTATTGAGAAGACCTGGGGAATAGACTATGAGTTGCACGGCTTTGGGATGCCCTGCTTTGCGTTTTTTGATGTGAAAAGGGGCCGCTAGAGTCATGGAATTTAAGAAACCAAAAGGGGTCCACAAACCCGAGACTTTGAGCCCTGAACCCCAAACCCTAAACCGAAAAATTCGGGTTTGGAGGTTTCGGCGTTGAGGGTTTAGGGTGGGCAGAACACCCATGATATCATTAAAGGACTCATGGAGTAGGCCCCATCCATCTTCCTAAGGCTCTTCGGGGCTCTAAGCCCCAAGCCATGTAACTCGGAGCCCAAAATCCTGAAACCCTAAACCCCTAAATCCTAAACCCCGAACCCCTAAATCCCTAAACCCACCCTGACACCTAAGCACCTAAACCCTCCACCCTAAGGTTGCACTGACCCAAAGTCGAGAATCCTGGTGGGCGTCCAGCCTAAGACCCCTGTGACCGTAGAGTTGATCTGCAAGCAATAGACCCTAGGGTTTCAGGTCTTGAGGCTTTCGGTTTAGGGTTTAGGGTTTAGGGTTTAGGGCTTAGGGTTTAGGGTTTAGGGTTTAGGGTTTAGGGCTTTGGGCGTGGAGGCTGAGGGCTTCTGGGTTTAGGGAAACTCTGTCTTGCGGTTGAGGTTTTGACATGGGGCAACTGTCTCTCTGTCTCTCAGTTTGCCGTTTTAGGATATGGCGGAGAGAAAGACCCCTAAACCCTAAACCCTAGAACATGCTCTGCCACACTCTCACCGGAGCAAGCCAAGCAGCACATCACGTAAAAGGTAATGGCTGCATTCTGTGGGTCATAGAAATCACGAAGATCAGGGACCTGCTCGTTCTGATAAGCCCATAACCCCCAAAAAAATTGCCAAGTCTTGAGCTGCGTGCTCCTAAACCCTAAGCCTACACCTCCAAGCCCCAACACCCTATCACTTCGGGATACAACTTCAGAGACTTGCTGACTTGAAGCTCCGTTCACCCACGATTTGAGATTTGGGCTCTACCATGTTAAAGGACTTCAAGGTTCAAGCGCTTCGGGTATAGAGCCTTCCCAAACTTCCAAACCCTGAACCCTAAACCCTTCCCAAACTCCGAACACGTTGAACCCTGAACCATAAACCCTTCCCAAACTCCCAAACCCTGAACCCTAAACCCTTCCCAAACTCCGAACACGTTGAACCCTAAACCGAAAACCCTAAACTCTAAACGCTTCCCAAACTCCCAAACCCTCAACCCTGAAACCTAAGCCCTTCAGTAGGTCAGGGACTGCAACTTGGGCAGTGGAGGGACCTTGGTGTTGAAGTCCTCTAATATAGGGGCCTAAATAATTAGGGTTTAGGGATTCGGGTTTAGGGTTTAGGGTTTAGGGTTTAGGGATTAGGGTTTAGGGTTTAGGGGTTTAGGGTTTAGGGTTTAGGGTATAGGGGCCTAAATGATTTTAAACTACGAATACTATTGTGCTGGGGCTCCTTATTCTGGGTCAGGGTTTAGGGTAGTCTAATTATAGGTATAATGGGGAACCCTATTGAGATGATCAAGAAACCATAAACCCTAAACCCTGAGCCCTAAACCCTAAACCCCAAGACCCCAAACCCTAAACCCCAAACCCAAAACCCCAAACCCTAAACCCCAAATGAGGGTGAGGCTTCGGGGTTTGGGGTTTTGGGATTCGGAGTTTAGGGCTTTTTCGGGGGTTAGAGCTTAAGGCTTCGGGGTCCGGGGTTTAGGGTTTCGGGGTTTAGGGCTTAAGACTTCGGGTTTGGGGTTTAGGGTTTAGGGTTTTGGGGTTTAGGGCTTAAGGCTTCGGGGTTTTGCGGGGTAAGAAGTAAGAAGGCTTGATGATGACATCTCGCAAAAAAGAGAGAACTCTGCAAGCCCAGGTTGGCTGAAGATGGTTTCCGGGCTCGAACTGTCCAGGCGCCCCCAAAACCCAAAGCCAAAACAAAGAGGGTGGAACAACCTTAGCCTGCGCCCCAAAGCCACGAACCTTCTGGGTAGCTATCTAAACTAGGGTCCCTTTTAGCGTCCTTGTTATAAGGGTGCCGTATTAGTTTGGGGACCTTAAAAAAGGATCCCTGTTTTGAGAATTACCCATAAGCCCAAAGGGGCCATCGCGCTGGAACTTGCACGCCATCCATCAGAATTCAGGCTTACTAAACTCATAGACTCTAGACTCGAACTGGGGTTTAGGGTTTAGGGGTTAACAGTTCGACAAAGGGTTTAGGATGTAGGGTCTGTCCTCGTTTTGAGTTGTGAGGCCGTCGATTTCGAATATCTCCTTCGTGAGATTCCTGGAATGGGCTTGGAACTGCGGGTTAGGGGTTTAGGGTTCAGGGTTCAGGGCTTTGGGTTCAGGGTCAAGGGTCCAGGGCTCACGGTTAAGGGTTTAGGGTTCAGGGTTTAGGGCTCAGGGCTGGCAAAGGGCACAAGGTTGGTGAATTCGGGCTTCGGGCGTTCGGGTATGCAGATAATGACGCTTACCCGTGCGTCCGGCAGTCATCATTCATCATGATGCTAGATTCTTGTTGCCAATGTTTCCCTTTGCCGGCTACAACGAGCAGTGTGGCGCGCGTTTGATGACTCTGTTTAACAACGATAACTTTGATGGGTACACCCACAGAGGCCATACGCACCGAGCGAGAGTCTATGCACTACTACCATTGCCAGTAGCCTCTTTGTTAAACCATTGCTCCTAGCTCTGATTGTGGAAAGGTTGCCTACATTCGTGGGAGTGAGTAGTGGCAACGGCGTAAGGAATGGTTGCAACGTGTTGTATCAGTGGCAGCGTACCAGTACTGGCTGCCTGATCACTGATCTCCTTGACATTTTTGTGAAGCAGTTGGCAGTTGGCCTCAATGTTGTTGGTAGCCGCGTTACTAGCTTACGAGGTTTAGGGTTGAGTGTTTAGGACTTGGTTACTAAATCCCTGAAATCTACACCTTAAAACCTCAACCCCGAACTCAAACCCCAAACGCTCAACCCAAGCCCTACTTATCCAAAACCCTCAACCCCTGCCTTCTAGCTGCAGTATCGTCCTAAGAACTTGATCCTAAACCACACCCTACACCCGTGTTTTGCTTAGAGTTTTCTTGAATTCGCGCCGAAGCTCTGCCAGTGCCCCGCATCGCTCTCCAGGGACAGCTGCAGGAGTGACACGTGCACCTGCTTAGTTCGCATCGCTTCAAGGCTTCCGGAGCATAGGGCCTCTAGTCGTTTGAGGTTTCGGGTTAAGGACACTGAGGATTTCGGGTGTCTGGGTTGAGCATGGCTTACAGTAGAAGCCCGAACGTTTGGAACATGATTTTCCACGTGCCCTTAAGGTAAAGCATAAGGCATCCTAGCACTAACCATCCTAAATCCATGTTCCAACTTTCTGGGGTTCACTGTAAAGGTTTAAAGCTCATGGGGGTGCTGGGTTTAGCATGTACGGGCTTGTAGGTTCAAAGACTGACGGCACAAAGCTCCTACACACTTTGATAAACCCAGAGAGTCGGTGAGACGGAGGGTTTAGGGTTTACGTTTTCTTCTCATAACGGTGACGGCTCGCGGTTGAGGCGTTGTGCTCTTTGAAACTATAGGCCCTAACATGTACCCTAACTACATCTTCAACCCTACTGCCAACTGGACCTTAAAGCCTAAAGCCAAACCTGGACCCCTGACCCAAACCGTAAAATGGGAATGTCTATGTATGGCCCTTTTTCTCCATATAATTCTAAAGTATAAACCTTAGCCTCAAAATGCCAATGTAGAGACTACTTTAAGGCCTAAGTATATACTAGATGCGCACATGGAGCCTAAGGGCAGGAGCTCCTGCAACAAGTAGGCAACGGCTCATGTAAACCCGAAACCCTAACTTCAGCACTCCTACATTTGAAGCCGGGGCTTCCCTAACATGATTCCAACATAAGCAACCACAAAGCACCACCAATATTTTTGGGGGGTTTGGAGTTTGTCACTTTACGGTCTAAAGTCTGCGAGAAGCCGAGGGGCGCCGCAGTCAAATACATCGCCACGCTACAGTTTGCAACCCTGAACCCTGAACCCCAAACTTTAAACCCCAAACCCCCTCAACAGCCTTAAACTCAAAACCCCAAACCCTGCCCCTAAACCTCTAAAGCTATAACCCCCAAACCTGCAAACCCCTAAACCCTAAACAGGCCTCATCCAAAGGCAAAGTGTCTTGCCAAGCAAGGTCCTCGAGCAGAAACCGAAGGTTCGCGGAGAAAGTTGGATTGGAGTTGTCCGGATGCGCCCCCCATTACGCGCATTCAGCGTTAAGGGTTTAGGGTGTCCCCACCGTGTGTCGTGTGTATATAGGGTGTAAAAGTGCGCACATTCTACTGTATGTACTTAAGATCTGAACTATGCCAGAAACATTATAGCAACAATAGTTTTCCAAAGCCCCGAAGCCCCTATGCGCTTCCTATGACTGCTGCTTTGGCCGGAAACGCATTCAGAGGACGGACAAAAGGTGTCCAAGATTGCGGCCGATGTTGGCGAGCGTATCCGGGTAGAGGGTTCAAGGTTCCCATCATGGCAGTAACATATCCCTCTCCCATGATGTTTTCTGGCTCGTCTCTATTGCTCTCGCTTTAAAGTGTCCTCGGCCACCGAAGATCCTGCCAGAATCAACAGCGAGAGTTGCCACGGCCATGGGTGAAATGGAAACATGGAAGGCTCAGTAGTTCAGCTCTGAAGCTCGGGATGAACACGACCAACCTCACCGGCTTTAAACCTGGGCGGATATAATTTAAAAGTTGAAACAACAATCTACGAGTTTAAAGCATATATACAGCAGTTTAAACCTGATGCGTCCTCAACTCTATACTCTTTAAGTGCTGACTCTCTGACTCCCCGAGCTTCTCAGCTGACAGACGGCGCCTCCACGAGGTCGTTTGCAGGTTCGGTATCTATGCAAGGCTTGAGCCGCCGAGGCGCGTGAATAGAAGGGGGCTTAGGGTTTAGGTTTGGGGTTTGTAAGGTTTACGGTTGCTTAAGGTTGAAGGTTTAGGGTTTTGCCGCAAGAGGGCCCCTCCTGCTCCCTACCCCCTGGCAAAGGGGAGCGGTAGGGCAGAACAGTTCGAAAGCCATGCTGGTTCTTGTAGAGTTCATGTTGACGTTTCATTAATGATGTAAATAAACTGCAATTAACTCCATGCCCGAAATATTCAGAAAGTTTTGACGGGCAAGGAGGCTGATATAGAGCTTTTATTTTCATTTTTTTGACATGTTTGCTTGATTGGGATCGGAATCGGCGGCTTCATGGTTATTGGAGTACATGAGTTTCGGCAGAGATTACCACTTACCACCCCAAAAAACAGCGCAGGGTAGGGAGCAGGGGTCAGGGCACGGCGCAGAGGGCCGAGCAAAGGGCAGGGAGCATTCGCAGAAGGTTCCTGAGAACACGAGCCACGCGTGGCTCGCTGACAGGCTCGAATGATTTCTGCGAGTCACACAAAGCCTGAGATTGTCAAAATGGCAGCGGGTCGTGTTTACGTTTCATATATATATATATATATATATATGCTCCCCCCTCCCTCAGTTATCTACCTTTTTCGGTGGCTT